ATAAACAGTACAACAGATTATTACACCTGTAATAAACAGTACAACAGATTATTACACCTGTAATAAACAGTACAACAGATTATTACACCTGTAATTAACAATACTACAGATTATTACATTTGTAATAAACAATACTACAAATTATTATACCTGTAATAAAAATACTACAGATTATTACACCTGTAATAAACAGTACTACAGAATATTACACCTGCAATAAAAATACTACAGATTATTGTATCTGTAATAAACAATACTACATATTATTATACCTGCAATAAACAATACTACATATTATTATACCTGCAATAAAAATACTACAGATTATTGTATCTGTAATAAACAATACTACATATTATTATACCTGCAATAAACAATACTACATATTATTATACCTGCAATAAAAATACTACAGATTATTGCATCTGTAATAAACAATACTACAGATTAAAAGACCTGTAATAAACAATACTACAGATTATTACACCTGCAATAAACAATACTTAAGATTATTACACCTGGAATAAACAATACTACAGATTATTACACCTGCAATAAAAAATACTATAGATTATTACATCTGTAATAAACAATACTACAAATTATTACACCTGTAATAAACAGTACTACAGATTAAAACTCCTGTAATACACAATACTTCAGATTATTACACCTAAAAGAAACAATACTACAGATTATTATAGGAATAATAACAATGGTAAAAGTTACGGGTTTAGCTAAAAATTAAAAGTAGAAATATACCGGGTAAATGCTTGAGTAGAAAAAGCTAACTACAAGCATAAAGTTGCAAAAGTTTAGCTAAAAGCATCAGAAAGTTTTGGATCCATCTTTGTTTACTGTTGTAGTAAAAGTATTTCTGCTCCTAAGAACTGATTCTGTTTATGTTTTCATTTTATTTTCTACTTCATGGAATTTAAATTATTTGTCTCTTTTGTTGGTTTAAGAAATAATTCAGAGAAACTTGAACTTCAGGACAGACGGTTAACGACTACGATGTGTTGGAGGCGCCATCTGCTGACAGCTTTATATAAACTCATATTTAACTTAATTTATGTATTTATGAGACGTCAATCAAAGAGCAGCTTTTAATCCCTCAGGAGATGTTTATTTGATCACTTTTACGTGTTTGTTTATTGTTTGCAGTTGTATTTGTGTTTATTGTTGGGTTATTAAGATTATAATTGTTGTGTTTCAGTTTTTGTTTTGATTTTTTTGTTTATTTTCTTCCCCCACCTGAGACACGGCCTCAGTCTCACCTCCTGCTGATGTTTCCTGTGGAGCTCCCTCAGCTCTTCTGTCAGAACTCTGTTGGTCTCCTGAAGCTCCTTCAGCTCCAACGTTTTACTGTTCAGGGTAAATAAATCTTCACTTTTTATCTGCTTTTTAATAAAAACAGTCATTTGACACGACCCTGAAAGCTCAAACTGTCTGAACATTTGTGTCCAAAAATGTTTCTGTAAAATATTCAAGAAAAGAAAAGGAGCTGATGTGGGCCTACCTGCGCAGCTCCACGTGGAGGCTCTCGGTCTGCGCAGCTCTGCGATGGGCCTCGGTGCGCAGCTCCGCGTTCAGGCTCTCTGCCACTGCAGCTCGATGCTGGGCCTCAGCGTGCAGCTCCACCACCAGGCCCTCCAGGTTCACCTCGGAGCTCTGCAGACACAGCAGCTCTGAGCCGACCTGCCGCAGGAGCTCCACGCTCCGTGAACTCTCCTCTGCCAGCAGGACCATGCGCTGCCGCAGGACGTCCACCAGGTCCTGAAGAGGAGACGGGTGGACACGTGTCAATGTCTTGATGTGTTTTGGGACACACGTCAGAAGTGATTTAAAAAAACAAAAACAAAGGTCAAACAGTTTGACTCCAAACCTGTCAAGAGATGTCAGAGCTTTACAGAACTTATAAGAAAATATAAATAAATTTATAAGAAAATTTGCCAAAAAACTATAAATTGCATTGAAGTAAAGCTAACTTGCACTGTCATATATTTATTAAAACTTAGATTTATAGACAATTCAGTACTTCACAAAAACAAAATGTTTTTCATTTTTTGACTAATATTAGTGAAAATAGCCAGGCTAAATTAAATTAACTTAATTAAATCCATCTATCCTAGAAGATTTAGTGGCTTTATATTGTATTTTTTTAGCAAAACATGAGAAAACAAATGTTTATTTTTTAAGTAAAAATTAACTAATTTGTTTTCTTTTTACCTCAAACCCACAAAGTGAAACTCATTTACATATTTAGTTTTTAACAGTTTAATACTAAGCTAGTATTTATAGTCATGTTAGCCATAGCACATTAGCCCGTTGCTAACTAGCTCCCTTTTTCTGACATTGTTCATCAAAATACAAGAATACACAAACAAAACACTTGGAAGATTTAGGTTTTGTGTGTTTCTGTGTTTAGATGCTCGAAATACAAAATTTACAAAAAAAAACTGCTAGCCTGTAATGTTAGCTTTAAAAATGCTAATGTGAGCTAAAGCTAAATCACAATTAAAAAGTAACAATATAGGCCTATTTCTTATTGCGTTTGTTTCACGACTGTTATAAAATAAGGTCAAAGTTCATAATAGGAGGGGAAAACTGCTAATTTTAAGCTAACAATAAAAAAATTAAGGAAAACAGCTAGCTGCTGCTAGGCTGTAATGTTAGCTTTAAAATGTTAACGAACTAAAACTAAATAAAATTAATCAAACTATATTCCTTGTCAAATTTGTTTCATGGCTGTTTATAAAATAGGGTCAACATTTATTTTAGAAGAAACAAAAAAAATTGTTTTTTTCAGGAAAACAACTAGCCTGTAATGTTAGCTTTAAAATGCTAACGTGAGCTAAAGCTAAATCGCAACAAAATTAAATTATTTTCTTTGTTTCATGGCTGTTTATAAGGTCAAAGGTTTTAATGGGAAACATAGTAAAAATAAAACAAACAAAAAGCTACATTTATCTTGACAGTAAAAAATATTTTATTAAGGTAAACAGCTAGCTGCTGCTAGCCTGTAATGTTAGCTTAAACATGTTAATGTGACCTAAAACGAAATAAAAAAGTCATACTACATGGCTTCGAAGAAACAAAAAAGCAGCTATTTTTATGCTAACAGTAAAAAAAATTATTCAAGAAAACTAGTGTAATGTTAGCTTAAAGAAATGCTAATGTGAGCTAAAGCTAAACTGCAACAAACAAGTTTATTTCACTGTTTGTAAAAACAGGATTAGTGTGCAGGTTTTTTTTGAAATTCTTTTTAAATAATTTGAGTTAATCTGGTATAAAATATAAGGATTAATATGATTCATAATTAGATAATTAGCAGCTGTTTAAATATTTAAAAAGGACACATGACAGTTTATTTTTGTTATAAAACACCAACTGCAGCACGTTTCCAACATATCTTTGTTTTAGCTACATCACACTGAGCCCACCTGCTGCTGGTGGACCCTGCGGATCAGCTGGTCCTGGTTCATCCTCAGCTCCAGGTTCTGGTGCTCCTGCTGGAGGAGTCGAGTCGTCACCGCCTCCAGGTCGTTGTGCAGCTTCCTCTCCTTCTCTCTGGACACCAGGAACTCTCTTTCCAATATGGCTGAAGCGAGAGCGGACTAACATCAGGTTCAACGGCTAAAGATTCAAGTAAACTTTTGCTTAATGTAACTTTGTAGCAATATAAACTGAAATAAACACAGCTTTGCCTAAGGCAGGCAGAAACAGACTGAAAAGTAAGCCTCAAACACACAAGCTGCTGTGCAAAAACTGAGTCAGATCTTTTTTAATTCTTGAGAGACGAACAACAGGACACGTTTTACATTTCAAAATAAAAATAAAAACTTTCAGTTTTGTAAAAACATTTTGAGGTAAAATTTAACTCAAGTCTGGAAGCTTGAGGTGTGTGCAGCTGTAAGAAATATATTATGAAAAAATGAGAAAAATATCCACAATTTGATGAATAATTTGCATATTTCTTACTTCAGCTTGTACTGAAGCACTTTGTGATTTTATACAACAGCTTTAAAATAAACATTTAAGTTAAACTTTTGTTTTGCTGGTTGTAGACGGGACTCTGGATACTTCAACTAGCTTTTCCTGCAAAAAGCGTGTGCTAAATGTAGACACAGTAGTTAAAATTAGCACCCAGATGGTTAAAGGGGTTTAAAAATTGTAAATTAGCAGAAAAGTACAAAAGAAGTTTTTTTTTTACAATTTTTACATTTACTAGTAAACAAACAGCCAAAAATTGCAGTAAAACAGCTGCAAATTCTTTAATTAGCACAAGGAAGAATAAGGAGTGCAGGTTTGCTGAAATAGCCACCAAAACATGAATTTGGCCTAATAAGCTAACTTTAGCTAATAACAGCTTTTTTTCAAACATTGCAGCAAATAGCTGAATATAGCAGAAAGCTGTTTGAAGCATAAATAGCTGAAATTAGCATCTAGAAGCACAAAAAAGTAGAAAATGGCAGAAGAATAGCAGAAATGGCAGGAATAAAAAGCTAGAATTAGCAAAAAAAAACTAAAATTAGCACAAGGAAGTTAAAAAAGTAGAAAAGGTGTAAGGTTCTGTAA